TTGTACTTACGCACAATCTACTTGCAATCTTGAATTTTAAGTAATATGCATTAATAAACAGTACTTTATGCATAAAAAAAATGGTTTTTACGAGTTTTTGTCAAATGCTTTATAATATAGTATAGATATGTTTTAGAATTTGCAAGTTCATTGTTTGAATTCGGTTTTACTTCTATAATATAGACGTGTATAGTGTAATGTAGTATTTTATTATCGGAGGACTTTTATGTTGATTTAAACTTAAAAACCTGTAACCAAAGACACTGCAAAAACATTAGTAAAAGAACTATTCAACGACGCATTTGGAAAAAGGTTACTGAAACATGAACCTTTACGCGGTGTTCTCGAATTTGGAGAAGAAAAGAAAAGAAAAGAAAAGTTTAGACATGCTTTAAAAAAGCGTTAGAAAAATGCAACATTTAAGCAACGTTACGAAAAGTGTAGCTAAAGGGCACATTCAGTAACCCTTTTTAAAAACCTTTCAGAAGGTAACATGTAATGCAGTAACACTTTAATACTGTTACTAATTTTTCAAAAAGTGTCGTGAGTAATGTGCGTTTTTAGTAAATACATTATCTAATTTGAACAACTTTTATGATTTGTTTCGTATCATAACTAAAGAAAAAAACGTTACTAAAAGTTGAATTTCATTGGCCTTTTGAAAAAACATCAGCACAGTTGATCACCATTTATATCTGATTTTATGAAGTTTTTTTTTTTTTTTTGACAATGAAAGAACAGCGGTTTCATCATGCAAAGAAGTACAAACATGAAATTGGTACTTCAACATTGTGTTTATTGTATTTTCAAAGGGATGTTGTAAAATACCGATGCTTTTTTATTAACTTGGATATCCAACCTATTATGCGAGCCCGACTAATTCTAGGACGACCATCTATTTTGCGGGTAGTACGGAGTCATCACATTTGAACCTCTGTGGCTACAAAGAGAGTTCTATTCCTCCTTCGGATTTGATCATGAGACCTCCAAGCACTTTTAACCTTTGGAGCCCAAACTCAAATAATTGGTGGGTTTGGTCATTCCACCATTCATGGATTTAGTCATTCTACCACAATTGAGAAGAAATTCAATTTCATTCCATCCCATTTTATCAAAAAGTCAAAATTATCCTCATCTTCCCTCTTGATTTACCCGGACCCATATGACCTTCATCTGAACCACCACCGACCACCAACGATTTGAATCTCCGCTGATCACCACCAATCTGAACCTCCATCGACCACCATGATTTGAACCACGGTCAACCACCACCGATATGAACCACCGCCGACCACCACCATTTTGAATCGTCGCCGACCACCATCGATCTGAATCATCACTGTTATGAAACACCGATTTAAACCATCACCGACCCCCACTGACCACCATCGATCTAGTCCATCGTCGACCACTATCGATCTGAGCCACCGCCGACCACCACCATTTTGAAACACAAATATAAACCACCGCTTTGATCACCGTCGTTTTTAACCACCCCGACCACCACCGATCTTAACTACTGTTTTGAACCACAATCGACCACCACCGTATAAGAGGGTTATTTTGGTCATTTATCGTTTATTAATTCCATTTCCGAACCTACCTTCTACCAACCAAACAGTAAGATTCCATATCATTTAAAATATTCCATTTCAATTCATTCCAATCAAATTCCATTCAAATTCTTTTAAACTGATTTTTTTTGACAGATTCCACTCATAAAACATTATGCTAACCAAACACCCCAAGTGTTGAGTTTTTTTTATTAACCTGGATATCCAACCCGCTAAAAAGTGTTGGGTTGACATGAAATAAAATGTAATATGTCCAATAAATTGGAATTTTTCTGTTTGGTTTGCAAAGGAATTTGAACGGAATATTGAAAAATCAGAAAAATACACTTTATTTGATATTACTTTTTATTTTTTAATTATAAATAACTAAAAAATTAACATTTGGTTGAAGAAAAGGTGTAAATTAACATTTATGAAGTCTATATAAACATGAAACATGTAAAAAAAATGATATAACTATAAACCAAACCGTTCATACAAGTTAACACATCAAATACGCATATATAAATATTGTTATCGAACCGTTTTACACATTGCTATAAGTTGCCGAACCATAGCATCGAAGCAACAAGTACAAAAAATATTGTTCATACACATTTATAGACTGATCATTGGTAATAACATACAACAAAAATATTGTTGTTCCTAAACTAAGTCGTCCTGGTCCAAATCACCAACAAAAATAAGTAAAAGAACACACGTGATCAAAATCAGTTTACAAACCGTCTAGAAACAGTAACAAATCAAGAACATACCCCAAATCCTTACCTAAATCGGTTTAGAAGCAGTAAAATATCACATATAATCTAAATTATAACCTAAATCGTTACCCAAATCAAGAACAAATATCTAGCTAAACTATTAAAAAACTTCCAGAAGTCCTCATTCGCAGATACGGATGCATAAAAAAGGCCAGCGTGAAACTTGACCTAGGCCCAATCCGAGCTCGACATGAAAAATCTTAGGCCCAATTCCAATAAGGCTTAAATATTGGCAACATGCCCAAACGTGTTTATTTATCTCTTAATAGTTTCATTAAGAGACAACATCTGAATCGCTAATAGGTTACTCGTGTTTAACAAAATAATGTTTGTCTCTTAATGGTTTTAGAACACTCTGAATAATTTTGTATCTTGCGCCTCCCTGAATCATTTAGTGTCATAATTTCATTCTGAACAATTACCAAACAACTATATTTCATTTTGTATTATATTATAAGAGTCTCTTAATCATCCTGTACCAAACCATTCAGCAACTGTCAAACAACCCCTAAGTCTTGTCTAAAAAGGTCGACTTGGACAATCCTGATTAAACTTGATTAAGCCCAAAAGAGCTCGATCAAGCCCTATTTCAATCCAAACCTGACCCGACCTTAAAAAGCCATGTTCTTTTCTACCCGAACTTTGTGCATCTCTATTTGTAATTAATATGTCTATATTAATAGATTAAATTCATTTTTTTTATAAAAAAATATTTATAACAAAAATATTTTGTAACAACTATCAATTATATTTTAAAATAAAAAAATTGTTATATTTCATTTTTAAAAACGAATTGGTATTTATTTTGAAAAAAAAAAGGATTATTCTGATATTTATGGAAACGAAATAGAAGTAAAAATAAAAATGAGGACATCATGTGGTGGATATGTTGCAAGAACGGGCGTGTGGTCATTTGAGACAGACAAAAACCACATGGCCCATTCGCCATGGATGCTTCATTTCATTTCTTTAAAGAACCATCAATGGCGTCAATCGTGATCTCTTCGCCACCATCAAAAATGGCTGCTTTTCGTCTTCCTCTTTCACTTTCAACTTCTCCCGTTAGAAGAAGAAGGTTCCGAGTCAACTCACTCCAACCCCTTCTTCACAAATCCCTAATTTTTCCTCCCAATTCTCTCTCAAAACCCTTACCTACCCGCATTTTCCCTACAATTTGCCACTCGAAAACCACCGACCATCACCAGGATCATGATCATGATCATGATCACGATCACGATCATGGTCATGGTCATGGTTGTGGTCACAATCACCACCACCACCACCACCATCATAACCATAACGGGGGTGAATTCGAGCTTACGAAATCACAGCAAGCGTTTACTCGGTTTGCAAAGGCAGTTATGTGGACCGACCTAGCTGACTTCTTGAGGGAGCATTTGGAGCTCTGTTGTTTTTCCACCGCGTTATTCTTAGCTGCCGCTGTGTGCCCTTACTTGGTTCCAAAAGCTTCTGTGAAGCCTATTCAACATGTTCTAGCTCTTGTAGCTTTTCCTCTTGTTGGGGTAATTATTTCTGTTATATTTTCGTTTTGCACCATTCCTTGTTAATTAGAATGCTGGATTGTGAAAAGTTACTGTATCTGTGAGTTATCCCCCCAGCCTTTCCTATCTTGGTTACATGTTTCCTTACATGATAGGCTTTTGGATACTGGCCTTAACTGAAAAAGAATGGCATGATACTATTTTAGGAATTGGGATTTTCGAGTGAGAAATCGAGGAAGAAAGTCTGTTAGACTGGAGTCCTCATTTAGAGAGAGATTTTTGAAACTTGTGGTTAACTTGCCCTTTAAGTGATTTTAAGGGGTTTACTTTTACCAGCTCAAATTCCCTTTTGGCTTATGCTCTTAGCAAATTGCATTTTATGTCAATTATCTGTATAGCGTCATGTTAAGGTAATAATTGATACACAAATATACAAAATACAACAAGCAGAGAATATGGTACAAAGCTAGACTAAAGGATCACAAGTTTACAGGTGCTATTTGGCAATTAGTCAAACCTTGCATTACGATTAAAGGGTATTATGATATGTTGTATATATGTTATAGTATAGAAATTGTTTTTGTAGTTTGAATGTTATCTGTTAGCTATCTTGTATCGGTGAGAAGTTACACATCCAACGAACAAAAGATTTCATTTATTCATACTCTTGTGTTCCTGGAAGCTTTTTCACTACCATTAACGACTGCTTAAAGTTTCCCATATAGTATAAGAGCAATTCACTAAGAGGAGTATCACTGTTATCATTTGTGTAACTAGCTTCTTCGTAGTTGCATCTCTATTGATAGCGATTATCTGGTTTTTGTTTTCATTCAGTTTTAGAAAATTACTTTATGGTTCTCAGTTATTTATTCACATTTATCCAAAATGCATGAAGTCTTGAGTAGTTCATTGGAAGTTCAATATCAACCAGACATAGGTAACATCCCATCCTTCTTCCTCTTTTTCCGGAACACTCATCTGGGTGTGACTATGATCTCCTGAAACTTGTTGCTTCATAGAATTCTAGTTCATGGAAAAGAATGATGATTGCTTTCCTAATCGCAAAGAACAAATTGCGCCCAATCTATGGTCAACATCCAAAACCCCTGCTTTCCTCACTTCTCAGGGCACATTGGGAACACACCAATGATTCGTTGATCAAATAGATATTGAATGTTGTATCAGAAAACACTGGCAATAACTTCAGCTTTACCTGGTTCAGTTTTGTCATTTAGCACGAGCTTTATGATCAATTTTCTATAATAGATGGACATGTAAAGTTTGAAATAGTCTACAATATTCTTCATTTGAATCAGGATGTTTATCATGTAGAAGTGCTCCATCTGAAATTAAATGATGTGTCAGATGAGGTGTGCAACTGTGCATATGCCTTTGCGATTTTAAGGTGGGAGGTTACAAGAAGCTAATAACTGGCAATAGTTGTTAGATGCCTTTATTTTCTGCTGATGTGTTAAATGGTTGATATTTTAAGTAGTTGGATGTGAATAAAACATCTTTGCATGGGGTTCTTCTCGAGGAAGTTTTCATGTTTGTCCAGAATTGTATCAATCTACATTCTCCTCACACCATGTGATTATCTAACCTTAGCACCACTTATTTGAGAGAGACGTGAACAAGGTCAAGGTGATGTGAATAGTTTTATCTTCATCAAGTCCCAAATGAATTGAAGAGCATTATAGGGAAAAACGAGGACTTATTCAACAATTGGAGTATTAGTTGGATGTTCATTATAGCATCATGACTTGGACCCAAGTAGATGGTACTTGGATATTGATTCTTTTTGTACTTAAGCTGGAATGATATTCAACCTGAGGGCATATGGTTTACAAAAGTCCGAAAAGCTAAGTTGATTGATGGAAAGCCTGCTATTACACTATTTGATCCCATTGTTATTTTGAGCACATAAGAATGTCTGAGTAATCCTTCATATGTTAACAACAGATGGTTGAAGATCATCATAGCATGCCTCTTAATTGCTGTCCGGGATTTAAGTGGCAAGTACAAGGCCCTCAGGTTCCTCATTGAAAGGCTCTATCAAGAGTCTTTTGATGTATTTTGTGCTGTAAAATAGGGGCTCTTCTATATTAAAGGATGATATGGTTATAATCAAGTTATGACACAATCAGCTGTTTGCATGTTTTTGGGCTCAACTTAGTGTCATTATCAGCCTAACATGTAGTCGCTCTCTATTCATCAGAGGCAGACAACAGCAGTTGCGAATTTACACCTTGCCAACTGTTTTTTTTTTTTTTTTTTTTTGGGGGGGATGATAAGGGGAAATGGATTTCTTAAATTACAAGTTAGAGAGGAGGATAAGAAGTTTGTAGGAGTTATTGTGCTATTATCCCAATCTTTTCAAAGGGTAGGTTGTATATAGTGTTATATTGAGGTCATGTTTTTGTATTTTTCTTTTTTTTTGTTTAGATGTTGCTGTTACCAACTTATGTTGAAAGGAGTTGTAAGCGTTCAACTATTACTAGATCCCTGTTCTCCTTCCACCTTTTGCTATCTCTCTCCCTCTTCCTCTGTACTTCGTTTCTCAAAGCTCACCACGCTTGAGGTTTTTCTACGTATCTCTAATATTGGTGATTATTCCCTATCTCTAATCCGCATTTATTATTGTGTACCTAATACCTATTGATACGAGTCACTTCCATGCTCACAGATGTTCTCATTGAAGCTGGCACCTTTAACCTTTTTTGAACAAATTTAATCCTTCTTATCCTTGTGTGAGTGCACTGTACGCATCCTTGACACCAGGATTGTGTCACCTGGTCATGCATATACTATTTGGCTTTTAGACCTTCCTGTATCATAATTTGTTTTCCACTGGCCCGGTAGTTCTCATCATACAACATCCTTTGGTATCACCATTTTACAACGTCGCCTTCCCTCCTTATGGAAGATGATTCTTTCTTTTTATGGATCTTTTGTCAGGCATACAACTCCATCTTCCTTTCATTTGGATTCCGGATGTAAGGGTAAATTATTTCCATATCAAAGAGTCGTGATATATAGATATCTTTACAGCTTTATGAGACTTTTATCACATCACTATACTTTACAGCTCTCTCTGTTGTAATATATAGATACTTGCTCTGTTTGAACCCAATTCTTTTTTGAAGCTTACCATGTAAAGCTTCTGCTTTGCCTATCACATGCAACTCTAAATGGACATTTTAACTTGGGATTGAATTCAATGATGGCTTTCTGTTGTAATGCTTACATTTTGAACTGACATATTAGTTCCAGCTTATTCAATCTGCAATGATTGCTTATCTATTTTCATTTTTCACTAATAGATATTCTTTTTCTGTTCCTCATCTCAGGTCTCGGCATCATTTGATGCGCTGTTAGATATTGCCGGTGGAAAAGTTAATATTCATGTGTTAATGGCTCTTGCGGCATTTGCATCTGCATTTATGGGGAACGCACTGGAAGGAGGCTTGCTTCTTGCTATGTTCAATTTGGCTCATATTGGTAGTCACTTCAATATTGTTTTTCTCCAGATGGAATCTGTTCTTTGCTATTTGGCTAAAATGTACAAATGACTGCAGCTGAAGAGTATTTCACCAGCCAGTCAAAGGTTGATGTCAAGGAGTTGAAAGAAAACTATCCAGAATTTGCCCTTGTGCTTGATGTTAATAACCAGAAGTTGATAAACTTATCTGATTTGAAATATCATGAGGTCCCGGTTAATGAGTTAGCAGTTGGATCATTCATTTTGGTCAAAGCTGGAGAGGTATGAAGTTTCTAAGATTTTTATCCTTTTTATATATGGGCATATTTAAATAAGCTTATGTTTCATCACCTTTTTCTTGGCATATTTTCAGCTCCATGTTAAGCCCACTCTAACTTTCTCGTTCAAAATTTATGTTACTGTTCTTTTCTACCAATGTGTCTTTTTCTTACTATATCTTTAAGCATCGGTGATGCTGTATGAAGATACATCAAGATGCAAATTTCATCTACACATCATATGATACATTTTAAAGATATTATACTTGTCTATATCCCATGACAGTGCAAAGCACTTCTGATTGAAATGTTAGTATTTGGTAAATGTTTTAAAATTGCAATACTCTTGGGGGTTGGGTTCTGGTGAGAATGGAAGTTATGATGAGAAGGGTAAGAAGGGATCTCCACCCTTGGATCAATCCTAATTGTAGAGAACCACTACATCAACACTAATGTGAGACACTGAATCATGCTTTCTAAAGCGCATTTCATGGGTTGTTTTGGGATTAAAAATGATCAAGGTTCCAAAACCCTTCTTACACTTCTCAACTTAACTCTTATTCTCACACGATCCTTCGTCTACTCTTGGTTGGTAAATGATCTTTTAAAATTGCAATAATCTTTGGTTGGTATTTTGACCAGTCAGTGCCTGTAGATTGTGAAGTTTTCCATGGTAGATCGACAATTACAATTGAACACTTGACTGGGGAAGTGAAACCAGTAGAAAGAGATGTTGGTGACAGCATTCCTGGTGGCGCGAGGAATATAGATGGTATGATGATATTGGAGGTATTTGTTTCTCAACTATTCTCAAACATCCTAACTACAAGGTCTTTTCCTCTACCTGTCCTACATTAATTGCAACTATAAATTATAAGTCGTTGGTAGTGGGCTATCAATACCTTCTCACCATGGTTGTAGTTGATTCCTGGGTAGCGGTTCAATCTGCTGATTGAGGGTGCTTACAATTAGAATTTTTATGTTCTCATATATATAAACTGGTGTTTACAATTTGAATTTTTATGTTCTCGCATGTATACTTGTCACAATGTAGTAATCTATAACCTTGGTGCTCAACCTGGCATTCCTCCTTGCTAAAATCCAAATAGGGATCGGCATTTAACTTGTATTTAAGTCTGTGGATTTCATTGCTGTTGGATGTGCACATGAGTGTTTGTGGTCTGCATTTCTACCGTCTAACTCCATATGTTGCTTTATAGGCAAAGAAGACATGGAAAGAATCCATGCTGAACAAGATAGTGCAACTGACGGAAGAAGCTCAATTAAGGAAACCGAAGCTTCAAAGATGGCTGGATCAGTTTGGTGAGAGTTACAGCAAGGCAGTCATCATTATATCAATTGCTGTTGCCCTCGTTGGCCCGATTCTTTTCAAGTGGCCATTCTTCAGTACTCAAGGTAAATATGATGTTCGTTTTATATTGTTCATGGAACCATTGTTTCATACAATTCTTTATATGCATGCAATCTTTATTCCATTTGAAATGAATCTTTCACCTTTAGTGTACTTCCCAGTTCACCCATGATCTCCCATGCCACATTTTCCTTCCCCATCGTGTTTAAAATTATATAGTTGTGTAGCTTGCAGGGGATCATTTTACAGAGCATTGGGGCTCATGGTTGCAGCATCACCATGTGCTCTGGCAGTAGCTCCCTTGGCTTATGCTACTGCAATCAGTGCTTGTGCAAAAAAGGTAATGTCGGTTTGTATGATGAGGAACCCAATAATGTAGTCTTCCATTTTGAGATTACCTTAGATGGGATTTTAAGTTTTCATGCTCTTCAATGTTTCCACCCAGTGTTAGTTTTTACAAGCTAACTCTTATAAATCCTGGAATGCATGCAATTGGAAAACTTAAATTGCAATACTCATGCCTCTTTTTGGAATAAAATGGAATCACTGGGAGAATATTCTAGCAAAATTGGATTAAAATCTAGGAACCATTGCCGAATCCCCATATCAGTGCTTTGGGGTGTAGCTTTTTAGGACATGGCAGGGTGTGCATCATATGCAGCATTGACCGTATTCCCAAATTGTTGACCATGAAAGTAATGGATACTGAATTGGTGCTTCAAGTGGTTCAATTTGGTTAAATTTTATTATGAAAAGAGATGGCATGAAGGCTAGACATCTAAAGTTAAATTTAAGTCGTGTGGCTACTAGAAATGGAGCCAACACAACAAATTATCTTTCTTCTATAGTTTGTACTAATATGGGCATACTAATTAAAAGTAAGATCATGATATGATGCAATTCGAAGTATATGCTTATTTTATATATTTGTTGTATAAATTATAAGATGATTTATTTCTTCTATTCACTTGGTTTTAGACTTGTATGTATGCACATACACACTCATATATAAACACACCCCCATATCATAAACATTTATTGTAGCAATTCAACATATTAATTAAGCACTTCAAAGACAAATGATCGTTCCCTTGTGACGATTCTCGTATGTTACGCAAATATCCAGCCATGATAGACAAGTACACAATCTGTATTGTTCTATGTGCTTGTTGCATCTTAAATTATCTTATAGTCTATCTCCAACATCACATATACACATCTTTCTTTCATAGTGGAAACCAACTTTTCCTTCTTTTTTCTTTCATAACGTGAACCAACTTTTCCTTCTTTTTTCTTTCATAACGTGAACCAACTTTTCCATTTTGACAAACCTGACCCTGTGTGTAGGGAATATTGCTGAAAGGAGGACATGTTTTTGACTCTCTAGCTTCCTGCCACACCATTGCATTTGATAAAACGGGCACGTTGACAACGGGGGAGTTTACGTGCAAAGCAATTGAACCGATACATGGACATGTTAGAGGAGATGAAGCTACAACTTCTTGTTGCATGCCTAATTGTGAGAAAGAAGCCCTTGCTGTGGCTGCTGCGATGGAGAAGGGGACAACTCATCCCATCGGAAGGTATCGCTAGCATTGATTGCTTGTATGCAACACATTACCTTCTGTTGACCTTTTGAACTAAACAAAGCCTTTAAGTTGCCATATAACTTGCTCATTCTTTTTCAGAATCTATCTCGTCTTTATGTCATTATTGGATGTCTTATTTCTTTATCATAGATCCCAACATATTAATTACGTGTACATGTTGTAGAGCCGTCATTAATCATAGTCAAGAAAAGGAGCTTCCTGCTGTTTATGTTGAAAGCTTTGAGAATCTCCCTGGTAGAGGTCTTTTTGCAACACTATCTAGCATTGAGGTAGTGCGTTTTGTATCTCTAACCACTCTATTTCATAAATGCCACATCACTTGTCATATATATTATATGCATATTTGCAACCGATGTTAAATAGTACCTTCCTGGACTGTACTGAAATAATTACATCCTGATTCTATGTCTTCTTTTTTATCTAACTATTTTTTTTATTTTCTGTTTGTTATAGCCAGGTTTTGGAGTGCGCCATGAGTTGAAGGCGTCACTTGGTTCTGTTGAGTACATCACATCACAGTTCAATTCTAAAGCTGAATCACGAAAGATCATGGAGGCAGTAATTAGGTCTTCTTATGGAACTGACTTGGTCCGTGCTGCTCTATCTGTGAATAACAAAAAGGTCCGACTTTCTTGGATGAAAACTTCTGGATAGTGCTTTATGTTCTAACTGATCAGCTATAGTTCTTGACTTCTTGCAACATCTATTGGTTAATTTGAATAACAAACAAAAGTACATTTTCTACCATCTTGTGGATGCTTATTTGTTGCAAATGTTCCAGTTGGCGTTTAACTCCCTTGTGGACCGAATCTTCTAATGTTCTATTTCGTACGAGCAGGTAACTCTTTTTCACTTTGAGGATAAGCCTCGAATTGGGACAAAGGATGTCATAGTGGAATTGAAAGAACAAGCAAAGCTCCATGTAATGATGTTAACCGGTGACCATGAGCTTAGTGCCCGTAGGGTTGCTAATGCGGTGGGCATCGATGAAATTCATTGTGGCCTAAAACCTGAGGATAAGCTCAATCACGTGACCAGCATCCCTAGAGATACAGGTGAGCTTCCTAATGCTCGGTTTTTACACTCCTTTAGACTTGGCTTTTAAGTTGTTGTCATTTTTTTTTATAAATCATCTACTCTTTTCATATCTCAATACTCCCTCCATCCCAAAATAAGTTTCCACATGTCTAGTTTGGAAGTGTCCATTTTCTAAAGTAAGCGCTTACTTCACAATTCTCCTTAGTATGAGATGGAGACATTTATTACTCCCTCTATTATTAAGGGTAAAAATGTCATAGTTAAATTAAAAGTGTAATAATTACATAGGGGGCAATTCAAATAACAAGACTAAATATCGTGAGAAGGTAAGAAGAGAGTTAAGGAAGATTCGTATGTGAATCATTGAAAGAATCCGAAAAAAAATCTATCTGAAGATGCATGTGTAAATCGACGTTACAAATTATTCATATGGGTCACATATGCATCTTCAAATGGATTTTCTCAATGATTCACATATGGACCTTCTGTTAACCTTTCCTTCTTACTTTCTCACAATATTTAGTCTTCTTATTTGAACCTTCCACTAATTAGATATCCTTGTGGACATTTATTTTGGGGTTGTACTTTGTTTTAGGTTGTTTATCCTCATCGGTGGTTATCATATAGATATTTGTATGGATGAGGAATTATAATTTTTTGACCAGTTTTCTTACTAACTATTTTCTCTTATTTAGCAGCCTGCGTATTAAGAAATGTTCTAAAAGCTATTATTTCTGGTCGTGTTACAGGAAGAGGTCTTGTGATGGTCGGTGACGGAATTAACGATGCACCGGCACTTGCTGCCGCTACTGTTGGCGTTGTCCTAGCACAACGTGCTAGTGCGACTGCTATAGCCGTTGCGGATATATTGCTACTTCAGGACAATATTTCTGGTGTTCCATTTTGCATTGCAAAATCGCGCCAAACGACTTCCTTGGTACCTTAATCATGCAATTATCATATATCTATTCATTTTACTTCATTTATTTCTTTTTATTTTTTGGTTAACTCTTCCCTTTGCTTGCAGGTGAAACTGAATGTGGCACTCGCCTTATCTAGCATTATGCTGGCCTCCCTTACTTCAGTTATGGGCTTTCTCCCTCTATGGCTTACGGTATGAAAGTACTTGTAACTCCTTTTTCTGTTCTATTTTCTCATTTTCTACTGCATGTTACTCTGACCGTCCCAATATAAGTGTTCACTTTCAAAAGTAATGCCTACTTTCCAATTCTACCCTTAATTATGAGATGGAAAAATTCATTACTCCATTAAGGGTAAACTTTTAATGTCCTTTAGTTAATGAAAAAGTGTAATAATTACACATTTCTAAACTGTCTGCCTTTTTCGTCGTGGACATTTATTTTGGGATAAAGGGAGTATTACAGTTCCTGATGATAGTACTCCATTTGGTCTAGAAAAAGTACCCAAATCGACTAATTATGAGGGTTTTTCTTAACTTGGGGAAATATTTGATGCTAGCCCCTCTCTTCCAATGTAAATGCAATATTTCTTTATCTTTTTGGCAAAAGTTACAGTCAAGAATTACTTTTTTACCTATCAGTAACCATTACAAAATGTTAATAACATTAATTTTGGTCCAAAATATTCTCCTAACTTGTTATTATTGAGTGGTAGTTTAGACCATGTTTGGCAAGCTAACTTATTTTTTGAGCTTATTGGAATGATCCCCGTTTGGTAAGTCATAAACTAGCATATAAGCTAACTTTTTGAAAAGATACTTTAGGTAGCGTTTCAATAAGCTACACGGGTTTCTTTTCATTTTTTTTCCAATTATGCCCCTTATATTTTACATATATGACCAAACCCTTATCTTTTTAGGTAATTATACATTGTCATCTAGCTTATCAGCTAGTTTTACAACGTAATGGAGGGAGTGTGTAGAACAACGGGATGGAAACAAGATCCTGCATATGCAAAGAAAAAAATACCTTCTCTTCAAACCAATTGGGTCGGAATCATGCAAAATGGATCCTTTTTTACCCATATTAGCAAAATGTCAATTTCAACCTTGTCACATTATAAATATCTTTTGGTTTGTGGAGTATGTTGTTGTCTTTCCGAAGACATATTTCATGATGTCATAAAAATTCACCCCAGTGTTATGCAACAGAATTCATAATGGGTACGTAACTACCCTCATGTTTGTTTTCCGTAAATTTGCAGGTTCTCCTCCATGAAGGCGGGACTCTGCTCGTTTGTCTAAATTCCATTCGTGCCCTTGAAGAACCTTCATGGTCATGGCGGGGGGATATTCTACAAGTATTCAATAAATTCAAGTCTCTGCTCAGCTTGTTGACCAAAAACAGCATCAATAACTCAAACACTAGAATCCAAGCTGCACCCTCTTAAGATTGCAACCACTTCGGTTATAGGTACGCTCTACTGCAACTCTGACTCCTTAGCATACGATTGGTATGCAGGACAGGACGAGATATAACAGAACAAAAACTTATTTTCCCACGTTTGGTACTATATTTACGTTATGTTCTCAAAACCCTTTTTATGAAGGAAAGGAAAGGGAAGGGAGGGGAAGGGGAGGAAAGTAAAAAAGAACTCGTGTTCTTGAACCTTTTTTAGGAGAGAGAGGAAAGGAAATTGAAAGAAATTAATACTCTTTAAAAAATTATTAAAATTACAAAACTATCGAAACTTTCATATATTTTGAAAGGTTGTATTAATAAAAATGACATCCTTCCTCCTTTCTCTCTGTTCAAAAAAATGAAAAATATTTTCGTTCTTTTCCTTTCCCTCCTTTTCTCTTTTAAGAACACAAAAAAAAAAAAAAAATACTTTCCTTTCTTTTCCTTTCCTCCCATTTCTTTTTTTCTTCTCTCCAAATTTGAGAACACAACATATGATTGAGACAACACAAAATTGAGTTGTTTTTGTCTTATCAAGATAGGTGGAAAAAAAAAAAAAGGAGATGAGACAAATCGGTAAATTACTAAACTATCCCTTGTCAAATTAAAACCTTAAAACCGTGTATAATTCTTTCAACCACCTACCTGACTCTCGTCGTATGGTCCAGTCTTGTCTTTGTACCAAACACACCTTTCAAGGTGGGATTTAGGGTAGACTTTTTCATGTCACCATCAAACTCTTTTTCTAAGCTCAATTATGGTCATTTATTTGAAAGTCAAATAGTGGTTTGGTTTTTCTGGTCAAACCCATAAATGAAAACAAAGCAGTTAGTTAGCTGGAATCACAAGAAGGTAGATGATGATGATGATGATGACGACGACGACGACGACGACGATGTTGATAGCAATGACTCACCATACATTGATGTGCCTATATCCGGCTCAAATTATAATCCCTTTGATTCAAAATAAATGCCTACAACCAAAAATAGATACACAGCTTTAGAAATATGTAGTTATTACACTTTTTATCAACTAAATGCTATGTTCACCCTTATTAAGAGAGGGAGTAATCCCAACTCATAATTAAAGGGTAAAGTCGAAAATCAGACACTTACATTTGTTTTGAGACGGAGGGAGTAACAATCACTATTCAAAAGAACTCCGTTACATGAAAACCATAAACATTCTTTGGAGTAACTTAATTTGATTAAGTCACTCCAATGTGAGGGGGCATTTCATTTTTTGGTTCACTCAGTGGTGAAGCTAATG